ATCTGCATTTTTTATACAATTCGTAACTTGTTATCGTCATGGGAATATAGGAGTTCGAAAAAGAGTTACAACTGCTGCTAGAAGATGGGTTGGCAAGCAGTCACCAGAAATCACTGCTGGGTTTGATCAAGAAACAGCAGCTTCAGTGATGGCCAGACTTGCAGTCCACCGAGCAGAGACATGTTATGCTCGTGATGTTATCAGATGGCTGGACGACACACTAATTCAATTTACAGCAAAGTTTGGAGACTATGTGCAGGAAGAACCATCTTCCTTCCGTTTATCATCAAACTTCTCCCTCTATCCACAGTTCATGTTTTATTTGAGGAGGTCTCAGTTTATCGATGTCTTTAACAGTTCCCCTGATGAGACTGCATTCTTCCGATTGATGTTGAACTGTGAGGGAGTAGTAAGTTGCATTATCATGATCCAACCTACACTTATGGAATATTCATTCGACGGGCCTCCTGTTCCTGTTCTGCTAGATGTTCGCTCTGTATCTCCAGATGTTATTTTACTCTTTGATTCTTATTTCTATGTGGTTATACACTATGGGTCAAAGATTGCTCAATGGAGGAAGCTTGGTTATGATAAAGACCCCAACCATGAGACTTTTAGAAAACTGTTGGAAGCACCCGAGGTTGATGCGCGGCAATTGGTGGCTGATCGAGTTCCTATACCCAAGATTATAAAATGTGACCAGCATGGTAGTCAAGCAAGGTTTCTTCTTGCCAAGTTGAATCCATCAGTCACTCATAATTCAACATACACTGAAGGATCAGACATCATATTTACTGATGACTTGAGCCTGGAAGCTTTCCTAGATGACTTGCAGACGCTGGCTGTGAGGGGCTGATTAGGTGGACTTTTGCATAGAGTTTTCTCCCGTTTTGGTGGTCTAAGGAAGTAAAAATACCATGTAAAATTGCTTGAAGGTAAACAAGTCTTTATATATTATTTTAAAAAAGCCTTTATTTATTTATTTTTTATTTACAAGGATGCGCACATACTTCTGATCTTCATAGATAAATTATTTCTTATATTTTCTCTCCATCAATGTGGGTGAAGTAGAGTGGGTGGACCATACTATGGTTTTTTATTAGGATTTCATTATTTATTGGTGCAGACTCAAGATAATTCTGCTATGGAAACATAACAACACGAAGCATACTTGCCGATGGTTTTCTTTGTCCTTTTGTGGTGAACATCTAGTACATTTGGATGCAGATGATTTGAGGATTTTCACTAGTCGCATGTAGTAATATGTAGATACTATAGAAGGTTTTACTCATGAAATGTGTTCATACGTTTGAATGCTCATTCTTGCCTGGTAAGAAATTGCTTATGACCCTTTGCAAACAGTCAATATGGATAGCACACTGCCTGAGTACTGCATCTCAAGGGGATTATAACTGCTGAGGGGCTTAGCTTTTGAATTTCTCTTGAAATGCAAAGTGTGGTATTAAAAGCAAAAAAGGAGTTCAACCCTTTACAAAAACTATACAATTCTATCAACAAATCAATCAAGTCCTAAATCCTCGCAAGAATAGAGGGGTTAACTTTGTATTTTTCGTTTATATATTAATAATTTTACGAGTTTTTAGATTCTGAAATCAATTGTTGTTGATTTTGAAGTGAAAATTGGATTGGTTGGAAGACTAAATGTTAGAGGTCTATTTTTACAATTTGGGTTATGAGGTTTCCTATTCTTGGCAAAGTAGAAATTTAGAACTCATGCGATTTCAATTGTGTAATTGGGAGAAAACTATTAAAATATTTGATCACTTATTCAATTTTGGTTTTGATTATCTGGGCACCACTTAAAATTAGCCTAAGGTCCAGCAAAATTTGATTTGCTATTGGTTTGGGTAAGTTGAGGTTTGACTTCTTGGTGATGGGAACAGCATAACATTGCAACTATTATTTTAAATCTGAATTACTATTTCATGTGACTGTAGTGCTTTTAGTTTCAGAAAAGTTTGTTTTTATTGCATCATGGAAGAATTTTCTCAGCCAATAGGTAAAGCAGGCTTACATCTTAGTTTATGCATGATCTTCAGTTATGGTACTATTTGGGAAAGAATTTAATTAATTATGACTTCAAATGGTGATCTAGATCATACTCTCAGCTGTAGCTCATCTGAGCTCTAAAACTGTTATTTTGATGCACTAAGGAAAAAGCTAATGACGTCCCTTGCCATTGCGTTGATGTTTTCCACAATAGCTTTTATGAGCTTTTAGAGTGATGAACAAAACCATGGTGCTTCTGTCCCTTATATGTATACTTGTATTTTTCTAAATTAAGTTCATTGGCAGACTTGTATTTTGATTGAATGGGCTTGTTGTCAAGTCAAGCTTTGTGCTAGCTCATGATGATCTATTGCCAGTTTATCCACATCTGGATCTGTTATCACTCTTCTGCCTCGGGAAGGAACTAAGATGGTTTAACTAAGAGAATGTCTTCATATCGTGATTTTTTTTGTGTGGTTAAATTTTGAATATCTTATCACTCTTCTGCCTCAGGAAGGAACTAAGATGGTTTAACTAAGACAATGTCTTCATATCGTGATTTTTTTTTGTGTGGTTAAATTTTGCATAGATATACATAGACATCCATTATATGAGAATGTTATCCCTGTTGTTGAGGAACTTCAAAGCCTGCCCCTTGTGAATGCTGTGTGTGAAGGTCAAAGAGATGAAAATAAATTAGATGGGAAAAATGATGTTGAACCAGGTGAAGGAGATATACCGCATTACTTTGATTGTTCAAGAGTTAAACTAAGTTTAATGTGATTACTTGAGAGCTGGGATTTTCATTCATCTTTGTGGAATTCCTTATTTTATTGATTATAATCTTAGAAGACAAAGTGGTTTCTTATTCAATATCTTAATTATTTGTGTAATGCAATGTAGAATCTCCTTTTGTATTCGAGCTCTTCCAGAACAGAGTTAGGAACTGCTGCTTATTGTGCTTTCAATGTGCTTACCTCCAAGGTTAGTTTTCCGTGTTACTCAACTTGGTTTTTCCTTCAGCCCACTGGCAAACTGACTCCTTAAAAAAGATGGTATATACATCCTCTTATTTGTTGATTTAGGAATCGGTTCTGATTTGTTTCTCATAACTTGATCTTGAAAAAGGTGCTTTGAACTCAAAATAGGAGAGAAATTAGTTTGCAGAGTTACCATTCTATGGTATATTCTCTTTTGGCTTCTTATTTTTCTTTTGGTTTATGATTTTTTGTTGTAGTTTATTTTTAAAAAATGTTATTTTGTTATAGTTAATTAAGCTATAATTTAGAACAAATGTGCAAACTTATTTATAT